AGGTACTGCCGTAGCTGGCACGCAAGCTTTAACTGTGCGAAAGCTCCCCTGGCCACCCCCGAAACCTGGGGTCCCAGGCTCAGCGGTGCATCCAGGATCACTCCCAAGCTGCGAACCTGCGTCTTCAGGGGGAGTTTAATCCCATCCAACACAGGATCTGATACTTCTTAATCATCTATAAAAACATACAACATCCATATCTTTATTTCCAATAAGTGTCTACAGTCCCTTTATATGTTTTCATGAATCTCAAACCTCCTATTAAAAATATACCTCCTTTTAATAATAAGCTATTCCAAGACATTACTCAATAATATATATATTACTGTGTTGTAATTAAATGACTTTACAACAGTTATACCACCTGTAATACAGACCTGATTGTATAGTTGTATAATCATGCAACCGTTCTTTATTGATTCCACCCATGAATCATATTTAGAAGATTCTACAGCAACTCTGCACTTTTATGAGTTTCATTTTAGAAATATTGTCATACTAACACTAATACAATCCAAATCTCACCTAAAGCAATTATCATCCCGCAAAAACCAGTAAGTACATAGTACCACTTAATCCAGCAGTACGTTTTAGCCAAAGTTCTTCATCCAATTCGATCCTAAATTTACACTTCATTTTATGCATTAGTCTGGATTTTTCTCATATCTAACTTTGAGAAGTTTTGTCTACCTTTGTTTATATAATGCAGCAGATCTCAGTAAAGATCTTCTCAGAAATGGAGACCGCACTCCAACCCATACCGTCTTTTCTTTCCACAATTTCTTCTCATCAACACCAAACCCAAATTGGCCCCTACTGGTTCTTTCTGAGGCCCCTTCCACACAGCCAAATAAAATCCCACATTATCTGCTTTGAACCGGAATATATGGCAGTGTTGACTCAGATAACCCAGTTCAAAACAGATCTTGTGGGATTTTCTGCCTTGTTATTCTGAGTTATATGGCTGTGTGGAAGGGCCCTGAATTCTACTCCCCATCCCAATATGGTCACTTTGCTACATAATCTCAGCCTCAATCCTGTATACCAATTTGAAAGAATTGATCTTCCATTTTTGGACTATTTTTTAAAAATTAGTCTTCACCGTATTGCTTTTTAAAATTTAATCAAACTCAGTTTCCAAGTCATTCTTAAGTATTTGTCTCTATTTTTGAAATTTGCGTCACAGTTCATATATCATCTGTTTCAGCTCTTCAAACAAAAACCATAAATTTTGTGAAGAAATCTTTGCCATCCATGTCCTCAAAGGTTATAGGGTTAAAAGTAGAAAACAAGCTTCTAGCACTTTCTCATACACTTTCTATCAAAATACCACTGTGTGGTTCCTTATCTTCCTTTAATGCAAGACAAACAACCTGTTTCTCATTCTTCTCACTCATTTCCCCATAAGAACTAACTCATTAACGAAATAAATTTTATACCTTTTAGAATTATCGTCTCACTGTACTTTCATTAAGTCAAATCTCCTATTTTCTTTTTAACTTGAATCTTGCAAAAAAGCTATTCTTTTTCTCCCTTTAGGCTCATTTTCATGAGAGAAAAAAATGATTCACTGAAGCTGTATTTAAACCAGCATCAGGAAAACATCTGCAGATACAAATTTAAGTCATTAAAGATGTTTAAGAAAATGTAGACTTATGCGCTTAGTATTCTTCTGCAGACACACATAAGCAATTTGGGAAAACTGTTTCCTGAGGCTCCTAGCTGCACGCCACTCAGCAATCTCTTGAGCTTATATAGTGATCCTGAACACACATGTGCAATCCCATACTCTCGTTCTAGTCTAGAGAGAGTTTCTGCCCACTAATTAGCAACTAATTAGCAGACAATCCTGCTACTTAACTTCCTCTGCTCAAGCTAAGGCAGTTAACCTGCCATATCTCTTCCTGGAAATCAGTATTCCTATGCTTAATTACTAATGCAAATAAGTAATACTGCACAACTTCTCCATGATATCCAGAATAGCTTTTTATTACACAAATGCTTTTATTTATTCGTGCACATGTGTGTCTTTAAAATAAAGAAAAATGTGCAAGATTGATAAAATAATCAAGATCTCAGATTGCTTGTGATATGGTATCTTTTACCACTCCATTTTACTAATTTGGAGTTATAGTAAGGAACAGCAGTTAGGATTTTTCCCTAGAAGATAGTTCACCCTCTTTTCTAGGCTACTCAGCTCTGGAACTCTCTCCCCAGTGAGGATAGATCAGCACCTTCCCTCTTCAGAAAGAAAATAAAGATGTGGTTGTGGGACCAGGGTTCTGGCCAATAATGCAATGCAAAAAATAAACAGGAAATACGTGTTATGACAATTAGAATGGCCACAGCGGATGATTTTTGGATCATGTGATTTTTATATTTATATTGGTAAAGGTAAAGGTAGTCCCCTGACATTAAGTCCAGTCATGTCTGACTCTGGGGTGTGGTGCTCATCTTCATTTCTAAGCTGAAGAGCCAGCGTTGTCCGTAGACACCTCCAAGGTCATGTGGCCGGCATGACTGCATGGCGCGCCGTTACCTTCCCGCCGGAGCGGTACCTATTGATCTACTCACATTTGCATGTTTTCGAACTGCTAGGTTGGCAGAAGCTAGGGCTGACAGCGGAAGCTCACGCCACTCCCCGGAATCGAACCTGCGACCTTTCGATCAACAAGCTCAGCAGCTCAGTGCTTTAACCCACTGTGCCTAATATTTATATTAGGATGTTTTTAATGCTTTATCTTGGTGTCTACATGTTGTATATGCCTATGTTTAATGGTTTTAATTATTTTAATTTATAGTTATATGTCAGTGTTTAGTTGTGATTTTATTTTATTATATGCATGTTGGCATTGAATTCTTGCCATTAATATGTTGCAAACCGCCTTGAGTTCCCCCAGAGGTGAAAAAAGTGGTATATAAATATACTAAATAAATAAATGAATAAATTTCTTTGTACTCCATTGTGTTGAACCATGATGAAGATATCAATGCTGAATCAAGTTAGTGCTGTAGGAGTTGTAAATATGACATCACTGCTCTTGGTCTAATATAAGTGCCCTATTTCTTCAATTGTAAGACACTACTTATTGTAAAATGCACCTTAATTTCAATTACAACAACAAACAGCAACCCCACTTTTAGAGATGTCTTCCAGACATACAGGCTGACTGGCTTTATTTTTGTATTTATTTAATTTTAATGTTTCTCTTCTACCTTATGGCCAAAGATCTCAGGGTGGGCTACAATAGAATCAGTTTAAAATAACAAATAAAAAGTCATTATAATTACAAATATGTAATTGCAGTAATTTCTTATAGACAGCTACAAAGAATTTTGCCTTGTGAACTTTTGGCTTGTGAACTTGTGGGTGGCAGGTATAATAAACAGGCTATAGTAAATGTAGAGCTATTTCCCATACAACTATTCTAGGATGTGGGTAAAACATTCCATTGTTAGATTTGGCATTTGCGGTAGCTATTTCCTAATGAGTGGACACTCTTAACAAGCGTTTCCATCTTTCAGTTCTCTCTAATTGGCTCCTTGGACTCATACCCCCTATTTGTTCTAGGTAAGAAAATCAGCTGGGTTTGCTTAACCATTGAGACATACAATGGGAAACACAGTGGTACTTTTCTAAGAAGTAATATTAGAAACTGTTGGTTATGGTTGAAAGCCATTCTGATCAAGAATGTTTTTTATCTTTCAGAAATGCTTCTTCTTACTCATCAGAAAATGACATGGGGTGTAATAGTACAGTATATTTTATTACATTGCATCATACCACAAGAGAAACCTAATAAATAAACACAACAATAATAACAAATTTATCTATGTATTTAAATAAATACATAGAGAAGTTTAGTAGGGATACTGATGTGCATTTCACATTTTATTTTGAACATTGTATCATAGAAAAGTCATTTTTACAATGCCATTTAAGTTTGCTCCAGGTGATTAGCTACAAACTACAGACTATCTATATGATAGAATTGAACTATTTTAGAAACTTGCAGCATAAATTTGGACTCCAGTTACACTGAAAACCTTGGGTTCTCCTTTGTGGTCCCTGTGAAATACGCATATATGGTAATGATTGGTGCGCATGAGCAGCATTCACAACCATATGTGCAGATTTCACAGGTGAACACTCGAAGAACCATGGTTACAGGTAAGCAACCATTCTTTCCTGCTAATATATATGATTTTTTTCATTTTATGAAATAGAGGGCAACAACATGATGTCAGAGCAAATTTTGAAATATGAATCTAAAATATACAAAAAGGTGTTTCTGCAGATTACATCAAGATTATGGTAAGAGAAGTGGACTTCAGAATTCATAGGACTTATCTAAAACTTAGAGGCTTTGTCTTTTAAGAATGAATGTAAAACATTAAAATGACATACACATTGTGTTCAGATGTCACTCTAAATCACGGTTCTTCACTACAGAAGTCTTGCAGGAAACAGTTTCACATGCTACCCCCTTTCCTATATGTTTCTGCTGTGATTACAAGAAGGTTTCACATCTCTTTTTTAACTTGTTTAGTGTTAAATCTGAATATCTAATTGCGTTTCAACGTAAGTTATGATTTGTGGACTAACAGCCCATCATTTCAAGTTGGCTGTTTCAAACAGCTTCCAGAGAAGTGTTTGTTATGGTAGTACCTAACATTTTATTCACATTTTAGTAAACATTTATTTATTTACTGCATAGCATCGTTTATGTATCATCTTCCAACCTTGAAATTTAAACTCATGTGTTGCTTGAGGCAATATAATTTATGAATAATATTCTTCCGTGATTTAAAAAACAGCTTGATGTTTTCTGTATCATTTCCCACTTTATATACTGGCTTTAAAAGTGGTTTGTTATAGAAGGTAACATATTTATTTTGTTGGTTTAATTATTCAAGCTTGTATACAGCTGTTTTTTAAAACAAATATTTCTCTAATTAATGCTTCATCTTCATGCTTGGTTTTGTCTCATGTTTTGCAGCACTGATAGCTATCGGGCGATATAGTATGACAATAGAGACTGTGGATGTGGGATGGTGCAAAGAAATCACTGATCAGGGAGCCACCCAAATTGCTCAGAGCAGTAAGTCACTCAGATACTTGGGACTGATGAGGTGTGATAAGGTAAGAACTTTCACTTTAACAAAAAAAAGAGAGAGAGAGAGAACTATATGATATATTTTGGATTGATATGGCTATTTATTCTATGCATTATATTTACATTATCATTTATGGGGGGAAATCTAGTGCACATTTCATCCATGATAGCTTTATCCAGATATGGCTCTCTAATACTGAACCAGTGGTGCTAACCATTTTTTTTTCCGAATGGCACCTAGCTAATTTCTAAATTCCACAATCTCAGTCTTTAGTGGGTTTTGCCATTGTCTCCTTTATCTTAAAACACAAAATCCACTAAAAGCACAAATGGTCCAGTGCGATTTTTAAAAGAAATAAGATTTGGCTCACTTCCCTTGGATCACAATTCCTCATTGTAAAAGCGCATGAAGCAAGAAGTTTAGTATAACTATTTTGAGTCAAAAGGATTTATTATTAAATTTTCCACATATTATCTCTCCTATTCAGAAATACCTAAGAAACTCCCACTTTCTTCATATTCAGTTTATAAAAACAAATTGTAAGAAAACCAAGCTATTAACAATCCACCTGGTAGGCTGCCGAACTACTACTTTGTGAACTGGCAGAACGGAATATCATGTGTTTTATAAGAGGCGAAAGAAGAAAAGTCTGTAAGCGGTTTCTTTGATGAACTGGGCTAAGATTATCTGCTTAGGCTGTTCAAAGGGTTACTTGACCCAGGGATTTAGATTAGACCCTAAACCAGCTGATCAATTTTACATATATTCCTTTTGTAGGTTTAGTTAAAATTGCTTGTACAATTGAAAAGTATTTTTTTTAAAAAAAAGGAATTTGTTTGCCCTCTCTTCAGCTGCTAAAGACAATCAATGACCTTGATGTTGAGCACAGATTTTAGTAGAACGTCAGTTAAACCATGCATACTGTACAGTCTATATTCTTTTAATTGCTGGCTTATGTTTTCTTGACTTCCTACAAAGGGACGGCATGCTGTGTAGGGAGACAACTGAGCTAGCAGGAATAAAAATCTGTGAGATGCCTGCAGAGCAAATGGGGAAAACTGTTTCTGATTAATGGGGAAAATATATTGGGTATCTTGATGAGAATGCTGTAAAGTGTGGCATTAGGGGTACCACTGGGGGTCATTTAACTTGCTTGTTAAACCTCTGCATGCAAGGGAATGAGGAAAGTACCCATAAAAAGAACAAATTTTCAGAAGCTCTGTCTTGAATTTAAAATGTTTAAAATGCAGTGCTGGCATATGTAAAAACTCCACCCCTCCTTTTACTTCCAAAGCAGAGAGAAACTGAAAAACAGAACTATTTCCTTTAGTTTTCTAACTTCATGCAGACCTAATTTCATTTTCCAACTAATAGCATTTAGAGCATCGTTAAAAATCCTGGCAAGTAGAGAAGAATTTTCAAATACCATTGTGATAGAAAATGTTCCTCCATACATTTCAATCAAAACAGTTCATGGGTCCATTTCCCCCTCCACTTTCTCTCATGGGGATATACTATAGGTAGCCTTCTAAATGTACATGATATTTCTAGACATTCAAGGAAGCAGCTCATAAACACAAGGAAACATAAAGAACCTAAAGCAATAGATTTCAGCAGTCCCCACCAAAATACTCTTTGTGACATCATCTGTTTGGCATTTCTTTGATATGTGCCTGACATAAATTTAGAATTACTAAAGCATCAAGAGCCTTGCCAAAAAAGATCAGAGGAATGGCATGGCTGGGTAAAGGCATGCTCTGTTTCATTCCATCGATTTTATAACTGCCTCTAGGCTATAGATGTCACTAGTGGCTGTGCTATTGATCCACACCATGGAAATAATCAAATTAATTCATTTCTCATCAAATTGCCATTACTGTGGTCTTTTTCATTTTCATGTACAATGTGGAAGCTACACATCCACTGATCTGAGAAAGAAAATGGCTTAACAATCTTTGTATCAAGAGAAATGACAATCTCATGTCTTCATAAAATCTTATGTTTTATCGTTTAAACTCTGTGTTCTTAAAACGTCATTTCATTATCTTGTCTATTCAATGACGGATTCTGTACCAAGGTCCTTGATTTAAAATAAATAATTGCAGAGACTTGTTTAAGAGCAGGAACATGTAACGATGAAGAAGTGGGCATTTTATGTCATTATTCCACTAGGGCAGAACAACTGCATCAGTCACCATTACTGCTGCTTGAATAAGGAGACACCTGAGTCTTGGTGTCTCATCATCCAAGCAACAGTAATGGTCGTTAATAAGCACACTTCCACAGATGGAGCTTGACCTCCCTCTTTCCTATTAGAATAATAGAATCATAGTTGGAAGAGACCACAAGGGGCATTCAGTCCCACCCCCTGCCATGCAGGAAAATGCAATCAAAGCACACTCGGTTTTGCCCCAGGTTTACTGAAATCAGCTTTCTTGAAGCCTAGAATACATGTCTGTGGGGGAAGAGAGATTTCCCTTAGACCCTTACAAAACGCATTTAATTACTCATTAAATGCTTTATTCAACCAGAAACACTGATTTGAGGCCATTAATGCCAGCATATAACTAGGGCAAATGTTCACGTCATTTGCACACCATCTCTGTGCATGTAGATCTGGAGAGTGTAGATATCTACTTTAGTCGAGGGCAGAGCAATGAGAAAAACACCAAGTAACACCATGTGTTAGGCCTAGGTCCTATTTTTTAAAATGTTCCAAAGTCCCCTAAAGCAGTGGTGCCAAACCCATTTTTATCGAGGGCTACATCAGTATTGTGGTTGCATTCAAAGGTGTCAGTGCTCTTTAGTTTTTTCCCCCAGTTTGAGTCCCCAGATGTTATTGAATGACAACTCCCATCACTTTTAATTATCTGCCATGCAGGCTTGGGATAATGGGACTTGCAATCCAACAGCACTTGTGGCCCTGAAGTTGGGGAAAGATTAAATGACATTTTAAAGTCAAACATCATATCCACAAGCCTTGTATTTAAATTCAAACCCTTATCCTTACTGAACAGAACAAACTGCAGCCTTGCAGACATTACTTGTACCACAGGTCCCATCAGCTATAGTCATGATGTCTAATGATGAGAAATACAGGAGTTATAGTCCAGCATCTGGAGGACCATATAAAATGACATGATGGGCAGATTTGCCCTTTGGGCCTTGAGTTTGACACATGTGCAACAATGATACACCGCTGGCCTGGGAAATACTGGCAGCTGAATTATCAGAGCCTCAGGTAACTTTCTGAGGCTCTGGACTAGATCCAGCAGGAAATGGAACAGGAAAAGGAAGTCCGAAGACAGAAGGTGAATCCCAGTCCTGCTAGAAGATGCTCACTTGTCATTGCCCCTGATAGAAATGAGCTTGTGGAGTTGATCTTCTCCAGTAGAAAGAGGCAGCATTTGTAAACTGAAAAACTCTATTGCAGTATCTTTGCCTATGACTTAATGAAAGGTTGGAACAATTGAAATTAGAATAATGGTTGCATGAGCAGTTTCAAATTCCCCTGCTCTGCCCTTTGAAGGCTGCTGGCTATTCCTGAACCTTGTTTAGCTCAAACTCAGTTTCAGAATTGCAAACATCTAGTGAATTGACATATGTGAAAGAGCACTGTAGAAAGGTATATTTTTATATCTAAAGAGACTGGTCTAATACTTTGAAAGAAAAGTCATTTGATTTAATACACTTTAAAGAAATCTATGCAAAATAAATCTCATACAGTTTAACTACATGTATTTTCAGATAGTTGCTCACACATTTAAAAAGCGTAAACTTACCTGTGCCAGCTTCCAAATATTATGTTGACCTTCATGCCACTTCAGTGTACAGACGTCCCTCTACATTTTTATTTTTGACTTATGTGGATTTGATAAAAATTGTCCGGTGTGACTCTTTGATTAACTTCCTTCAGGAGACCCCAGAGATTTTTTGAGAGAACAGATATTTTTTTGAGCTCTCTAAGAATCTCTGTCTACTCCAGGCCATTTTATGGTCACTTTCCAGCAGAAGGTGAGCATAGACTCATGCTAGAAGTCCAGAAAGGTGTCCAAATTAACAAGGAAGGAAAGTAACAGGAAAGAAATTGAAAGGAAGGAAATTATTTTTAATTTTTTGCATCTACTTCACAGACCTCCTAGTAGTCCTCAGTCTCCTGGTAAGGTTTTCTGGAAAATAAATTCTGCAACCACATTACCATACTAGAAAATGCTTTGCTCAGTGCATCTATAACCTGGCCCTAAACCATGTCTGCATTAGATCTCCTATGAAAATCACAACCAAAAACATTTGCAGACACGTGCAGTTTCTGGATTAGGATCTCATTCCTGATGGCATCAAGATGTATCTAATCAGTTCAGTAGGGGATGCTTGGCTTCCTCTTCAACAGTAAACCCAAGAACGAACCTTTTCTGACCATTTATATAATTAGCTGTATTACCATATTTACAGAGGACCAACAATATGTTATTCACAGTTTTCTATACCGAGCTTCTCAACCTCATTGAGGGACTCAGCCTGGTTTCCAGCCATAAAAAACATATACACTCATTAAAATATCATATATCACAATTACAAAAACAACTTTAAAAACACTATATATAAAACTACAGTGGTCAGTCGTCCTATTAAGATGGATCTACATCAACTTCCATCCAGGGTCCTATGGTATTGTCTCATTTATATTAGTAAAGATGTCAGTATCATTAGGATATTTATGGTAGATGGCATAAAGTTTCTCTCATATCATTTCAGAATACTGAATATCCAAAAGAAGAGCATACAAGAAGGGCACACATTATGAAGATTTTTTGTTTTTTAAAAGTTAAAAAATGATAACTTGTGATTTTTGAAGAGAATTGCAAAACCTAATCTTTCCTTGTGTTCCTAAGTATCCAGCATTTATTTCTTCCCCTTGTAAATTACTGTAATTTGTTCAAATCAAATTGCTTCATATTTGATTCTATGGATTTTTGAAGCACTGTGTGTAATATTAGGAATATCTGATTCTCTAACTGAGAGAAT